TGCACCAGTCCAGCACTAACACGCACGCACACAAATATATATATATATAGACATACACAAAGGGCTGTTGATTCTGTACGAAATGAAATCATTGGCTGTAGATGATCTCCCATCCCTTATTTTGTAGGAGATCATCGTTTACAGAGAGGGGCAACCACCCTTAGAAACATCCCATCCCTCTGAACGAGCCTCATTCTTTTTCCGAGCCAGGGCAAGTTCAGAGCTGGCAACCACCCTTATTTTGTAGGAGATCATCGTTTACAAAGTGGGGCAACTACCCTATCTCTTCTTTTGAAGAATTTACTAGTGGAAGCAGAGTGTGAGGTAGTTCGTGGCAAGCCCCTTCCAACACTATGGAATTCACTCAAAAGCATGCTTTTTGTAAGTATTTTAATTTTCAAGAAGTAACTTCAGAGCTTTACCCTATATTAAGTACTTTTGCTTGTCAAATTTCTTGTTATGATTTTTTTTAGTTCTGAAAAGATTTCCTTCTTCAAAAAGCTTGGCATGTTGATAAAAATTGTTTCAGATTAAACCTCTGCAGATTCTTTTTTTTTTTTTTTTTTTTCTTTTTTCATGCCCAGTTCAAATTTTCTTGTAGACATAATTGACAACAAAAAAAAAAAAAAAAACAGAAATAGAAGTTATAGAAATAAAAAATATATATATTTGTTTTGCTGAAATAAAATGCAGATTACGGTGATTACCTCAAAATGCAATGCAATGATTACCTCAAAATGCAATGCAAAAGTTAAACCAAAACCCATACATACCAGTTAGCAGTTGCAGAGAAAGAGGGACACAAGCTTGAGAGTTGAGAGACGGCGGCTGAAGCTTGCGAACGGCGAACCCGATCTGGAACAGCGGGCGATGGAAACTGAAAGATATGGGTTTTGATTTTTTGAACAATCTGAAATGATATACCGATATGGGTTTTGATATAGGTAATAGGTTTTCAACTTTTGATTTTTGCAGACAAACTGAAATATATGGGTTTTGAACTTCTGATTCTTGTAGATTTTGTAGTTTGCAGTTGCAGAGAGAGAGAGAGAGAGAGAGGGCAAGTTCAGAGTTTAGAACGAGAATAGAGAACGAGGCGATTGGGGAGGCTGAAATGATTTGCCCTAAATTTTTTTTTTTTTTTTTTTTTTAATATTTTGAGGCCCTATATCTTTTGAGGCCCCATATATTTTGAGGCCCTAGGCTACGGCCTTTATCGCCCTTGGGTCAGGGCCTACCAGCTTATTTGGCTTGGGCGTTTATTTGCACATACCGATCCTGCTTACCCCAACTGCGCTTATATAAGCGATTCACTGTCTGGTGTTAAAGATTAATAGAGAATATGTGGCCAAAAGAGAAGAAAATGAATACAGATCATGCATGCTGAAATCGGTACCTTTGGCCTGTTTTTCTACCCAAAGAAGTTGATTGAGACCCCGTTATCTTTATCTCTTTTAGCCCGCCTTGTGTAGGCCTCGTAGCTGAGTTAACTTCAGCTTGATTGGGTGGACCAATTTTGGAGTGGCTTAATACTGTTAATATATATATATTTTTTCGGTTGGGCTAAAATTAATATAGTAAATTTTTATTTATTTTTTTTTTGGGCTCAAGTCTACCAGAGTTCACCCCTACATTCGTCCTTGCCATCAATGTGAATCTTAAATATTTTTATTTTTGAAGTGCTAGTGACATTCATGGGCGGAGCTTTTAATGGGCCAACCTGGGTTACAGCCCAGGTCCAATTTTTTTAAAAAAATTAGTACTACTATTTTTATCAACCCAGTCCATTTGTAATCAAGTTTTAATATTACTATTTCTCTTCCTATCAACCTAATTCATAGTTCTACTCATCCTCTTCCTATCAGTCCAATCCATATGTGATATGTAATCAATTTTTACTGCTTTTCAGCCACTTTCTCTTAACACGTGATGGTATTTTCTCTCATAGGGTTTGGCATGTTTGGGGTCTAGTAAGGAAATTGCAGAGACTTAAGAGGAAGTCCAATTTCTCATCTTTTTGAACTAAAAAAAAAAAAAAAAAAAAAAAAAAAAAAAAAAAAAAATCTATGAAGATAATACGTATAAGAATAAGAATCTCTCTGAGATTAAGAAACTCTATTTACATGTGATTTTTTATTTTTATCCCCTTAAAAACTTGATTTGATATATGAGAACACCATCATTTTTTGGTCTATTATATATATATATATATATATATATATATATATATATATGATAAGAATTATTGTGTTCATTTTCAAAAATTTCTTATTACCTTTAGCCCCTTACTTTGTAATCCAGGCTCCGCCCGTGGTGACATCATTTCAGATTCAATATATTTGTATAAAAAGTATGTTTTTGTAAAGCAAATGTATTGTTATTTGTGAGATATTATTTTTGCAATTGGAAAATTTCGATGTCATAACAAATCTTGATCGAGTTGTAATTTCAAGTTATCATATCAAGATCGAGATCGACTACGGAATTGGAAGGTTATTTGAAGATGGTAAACTAAAATTATCAAAACGGGAAAGAACAACACTTTTAGGAAGGTGTTTCCCACTTAGGACATGTAATACCCCTAATTTTCAAAGGTTTATTTTAATTAATTTAATTATTTTAAATTGCTTATGTGGCTAAGTGTATTTATTTGTTCACTTGTTATTGAGTTAATTTTTTTTTTTTGGTTATTTAATTAAGTATTTTAATTAATTTAATTATTTTAAATTGCTTATGTGGCTAAGTGTATTTATTTGTTCACTTGTTATTGAGTTAATTATTTTTTTTTTTGGGTATTTAATTAAGTATTTTAATTTTGTGACTAATGTTATTTGAATTATTTATTGTGTTAACTATGTGATTGATACTCTAACTATATGTGGGTTTGCTTGTGTTGAAATTTAATTGTTAGTATTTGATTGTTTATTTAAATTGATTAATTATTTTCTTAATTTTAGTAAAGTTATTAATGGATTGGGCTTAATGTATTTAGGGCCTAAGAATGAGCCTTGGATTAGTTGGAGAAGTGGGAGTAGGCCTAATTAGATGGTGCAGGCTAAAGGCCCATGGGTATATTGTATATATGCATATAAATATGTATATATGTATATATATTTATTTATTTATATTGGGGTAATTACACTTACCTCCCCTAGGGTTAGGCCTAATTACAGGCGGTACCTCTAATGTTTCAAATATTACACTGACCTCCCCCCAAACTGATCGACATTTTATTCCGGCCATTGACCATGTTAAATGACTAAAACACCCTTCAATATTTTATTAATATCATATAAAGAATATCTTTGATTTGAAATTACTAAATTGTCCCTAATGGTTTTAGAGGGAAAAAAAATTGATGACTAAGTCCCATCATCTGCAACCCTTTCATTTCACTCATTATATCAGGCAACCCATTTATTTCCTTTTTTTATATCATAGAACCATTTTATTTCCTTTACACATCTCATACAGCCGGTTCGAGAGAGAAATAGAAGAAAGAGATGGAGAAGCACAGAGGTGAAGAGTTTGATGCCTTGCCTTTCAAACCCTAGATTTCTTAAGGCTTTGATCTTCTGTTCTCTTTGCTAGCCGTTACATAACCCATAATCATCCAACAAGTAGGCATCGGTGTAATATTTTTTCAGAAGCACGAATCGCTGGTGAAGGTAAGCCTGATTTTTTGAAAAAAATTAGGGGTTTTGCTATTCTTGTTGAGGTCTTAGGGTTTTTGTTTTAGATATATAGAATAGGTTCCTGTTCATTGCTGTTTTGTTATGCATGTCTATTTTCGCAGTGATTTTTAGAGTTTTTGTTATAGTTTTTCATGGTTCATTTCTGATATATATATATATATATTGTTTAATTTGTATTCTGATTTTGCCATATTAATATGTAACGAGTATAGTTGTTTATAGTATGAAATTTTTTTTTTTTTTGGTTTTTAGAATCTGGATTTTTTTTATATGCATCGTAATTTTTTTTTTCGAATCTGGATATTGTTGGATAGGTTCTTCGACAAGACATAATTAACACTTATATCTGGTATGTAATTATTGTCAGAGATTTTTTTTTCGTATCAACACTTATATCAGTTGTTGGATAGGTTTTTTTTTATATATGCATCCTAATTTTTTTATTTTTTTTATTTATAATTATTATTTTTTTATGCAACGTTGTTTCATAATCTGGATTTTTTTTTGTTTACAGTATAGTTGTTCACAGTGTTTGGTTTCTAAAATTTTAGTGAAAATTACCATATTGAAATAATTTAGTGAAAAATCATTATATATATAGAATTTTTTTTTTTTTTTTTTTTTTTTCTATATTGATATGTGTTGAGATTACCATATTGAAATAATTTAGTCAAAATTCATTACATATATAGAATTTTTTTTTTTTTCTAAATGTTTTTTGTATTTTATATATATAATGAATTTTGACTAAATTATTTCTATATCTTTTATTTTAGATTACCATATATATAATGAATTTCCACTTACTAGATTTTTTTTTTTATAATTATCCTAATGTTTTTGTGTTTTGATTTTTCCATATTAATATGTGTTAGACTGAGAAAATTGTGCTGTTATTTTGAAATATGCATGTGATTTTGTTATATGTATCCTAATGTTTTTTCTTATGTGGTATAAACAGATGGCAGATTCTGAATTGCATGATATTACTGTGCACTACAAGTCCACTGTGAAAGAAATTTATAATATTGACCCTGATAGGTACTGTTTTATTGATTTGATGGATGGTGTTTTACAAGTGTCTTTAGAAAATTTACCTGCACAATTAGGAGTCTCAATTATCATGCATTGTGATTTGCCTGGGAGTAATAAGAAAATGGTAGTGCAGAGTGATGCTGATATGTTACAAATGTTTAGCTTGCATATTATTCCTTATAAAAAATTTGTTCATGTTCATGTTGAGTTAGAAACTGTTGAAATTTTAAACATGGTATATGAGAAAAATGGTGCTGTGAGGGATGATGAAAGGGATGGTTGTCCAAGGGTGCTTATGTAAGTGGTGGTGAGAGGGATGGTAGTGAGAGGGATGGTAGGGTAAGGGATGGTGATGAGGAAGATGAGGATGATGGAGATTATATATTTGGTTTCAGTTCAGAAGATAAGGAATGGGAAGATGAAAATGAAGGGTATTCTAGTGATAGTGGACTAGTAGATGAAGGTACTATGGGGGGAGTTCAAATAAGTAGTGATGATGGTTTGTCAAATTATGGGTCAGGGGATGAATGTGGATCAGAATCAAGTATTGAAATATTGGGTGATACTGATAAAGAAATAATGGATGAAACTGGTAGAACTGTGGTAGACCTTGGTGCTAGGACTTGTGTATGTAGGGCATGGCAAATTTTTGGCCTCCCCTGCAAGCATGCAGCTGCTGCAATGGCTTACAAGAGAATGAATATTGAGCTATTTTGTGATGAAAAATTTAGTAAGCATGCTTATTTGGAAGCTCATGGGGGAATGATACATCCCATAGTTGACTCAAAACTATGGCCACCTGCTCATGGTGATCCACTTGATCCTCCTCCACCTTATAGAAGGCCTGGTAGGCCAAAGAAAAATAGAAGAAGAGATGCAGATGAACCTGCAGCAGGGACTAGTCAAGTGAGAAGGTCAATGACCATAAGATGCATGATTTGCAAGGCTCTTGGACATAACAAAAGAACATGTCCAAAAAATACAAATAAGGTCCAGAAGGGAAGTTCTTCAAAAGCTGCAAATGCAAGTGGTCCAGAGAAAAGTTCAAGCACATCTCAGGTAATTTAATTATCTGGTTTAATTTAATTCAGTTTTTTAATAAAAACTGAATTAGTCCATGCCATTTATTCTTATGTTTTGTTTGTTTTTTAATATCAGAGAGTTAGGAGGGGGGGTTTATCACAACCCTTGGGTGTAAATAGTTCTCAACCCTAACTTGGTAGAGGCACAACTCAAATGGTAACTTTTTATTTTTTTATTTTTTTTATTTACAGATTTACTTTATTGGTCATACAATTATTTGAAATTGTTGTGATTGTTTGACTCAGGCAGTTAGAGGTGGGGGGTGGTATAAGCAGTTCTCAACCCCAAGGTGCTACATGGAGTTTTGGTGCAAGCAGTTCTCAGCCCCAACTTGGTAGAGGGACAACTTAAATGGTAAATTTTTTTTTTTTTTTTCATTTTTTCATTTACAGATTTACTTTATTGGCCATATAGCTATTTGAAATTGTTGTGTTTGTTTGACTTAGGCAGTTAGAGGTGGGAGGGGTGCGTCTATGTCTCAGCCCCAACTTGGTAGTGGTACCTCTTCTGATATGGTAAATTATAGTGTCATGTAAATTTTAGTTATATATTTCGTTTCTTCTTCTTCTTCTTTTTTTTTTTTTTTTTTTTTTTTTTTTTTTTTTTGAACTCCATTTATTTGTTTTCCACATGCAATGTGGTAACTGTCATGCTGTTTCAATCCTTCTGGCCTCCCCTGAAGAATGTTTTTTGTGTTCTTATTTTGAGCATATATGGATAACTACCTGTCACTTTTGATGTTACTATTTTGTTTTGATGGCATGTGGACAAATGTTTGCTCATAGTTAGAGTTGCATTTGGAGCATATGTGGATAACCTGTCACTTTTTGGGAAACTTTGCTTGCTATTTGTTGACAATTTTTGGGATATTGTTGGATAGGTTATTGGACAGGATATAATTACATACTTATACTCATGGGTCTTGGGTATACTTTTGGTTGTTTTGTGTATGTAATGAAGTGGAGACAGTTGGATTGAACTATATATAAGCTTTTGGTTATTTTTTGCATGCCACTGTGTTTTGCAATGGAGTTCATACTATATAAGCTTTTGATTATTTTTGCATGCCACTGTGTTTTGCAATGGAGTTCATACTATATAACTTTTATATTTCTTCTTAATAGACTTATATTGCTTCTAGTTTATATGGAATATATAAGTGTCATATTTCTTCAAAAACAGACTTACATTGCTTCTAGCTCATCTAAACACATAAATGTCATATTTTTTCTTAACACAGTACAAACTTAATAGCTACTAAAATGTTTTTAACAAGGCTAAGAAAGACAACAACAAAGCTGCAATAATGAACATCTTCATTTGTCCATTTCTTGCTTCAGTCAGATCCAACCGCCTATTCATCGCTTCATATTGGTCTCTCAGATAAGCAGCATCATCATTCGGTTGAATTTCACCATCTTGATTTGTAGATGATTCATAACCACCTATTGTACCAATGGGGTTGCACCACTCCCACAATGAACATTTTTTTCTTTCATAGGTATAATACAACTTCCCTTTGTTGTAATAAGTGTCGTAAATTGTAACCCTTATTGCAGCTGTTACACCACAATAACAAGTCATACTATTGTACCTCAAATTCCTTGGAGCATTGCCTCTTGCAATATTTGAGCTTGACTGAGACATCTAGTTAAGCAATAATGAAAAGGAAAAATAAAATAATTAAATAAAATCACAAAATATGAGAGATGGAGGGAAAAATTGTAACTATATATATATATATATATATATAGAGAGAGAGAGGAAAATAAAATCATATATATTTCATCATAGAGGGAAATAAAATCATATATATTTCATCATATATATATATATATAGCAGACGTTGAAGGAGACCTTAAAGGAGAACAGACCTTGAAGGAGTAGCAGATCTTGAAGTACCAGTTCTTATGTGGAGGGAGAGCCTTGAGGGATTAGCTTCACGTAGAGAAATTTTAGAGAGAGAATTGTTAGAGAGAGAAAGAATGTAGTATTATGTAGAGAGGTGGGCTTATAAAGAAATCATACAAGGGTTTTTTTTTGTCTTTTTACTCTAGGTATATAGGTTATTTTAATACAAAAGTAAGGGTAAAAATGTCTTTGCAAATATAGTAAGGGCTAATGTGGTATTACATGGTTAAAAAGTGCTGATGTCATCAAAAATCATCATTGACCGGCGTTGACTTTCACCGGAGGGGGCTAAGTGTTACGACGGAGCAAACCTTGAGGGATGGCGGTGTAATATTTAAAACGTTAGGGGTACCGCCTGTAATTAGGCCTAGCCCCAGGGGAGGTAAGTGTAATTACCCCATTTATATTTTATTATTTGGTGTATATATATATATTATTTCATGTATGAGGGTTATTATTATTATTATTATTATTAGTTTTTTTTTTATTTATTGTTTTATTAGGATTAGTACTCTAATGGGGGGAAAAGGATTTCGGTAGGTTAGAATAGTTAATATATATATAACTATGTATTAGGCCCTTGGCTTATTACGTGAATTCAAGAGTGAGCGGAGGCGGCACAGAGGAGAGTGAGAAGAAGAAGGGAGATTAGCCAGAGAGAAGGAGGAGGAAGGAGAGAGAAATCCGGCCACCACCTTGGGGAACGACGGTAGCACATCGTTGCCGGAGTCAGAGAAGACGATCCGGCTGTTTTAGAAGCGATATTTGTTGGGGTTTCAATTTGAAATCCTTGAGGCAAGTTGCATCTCTATTATGCTCCTTTGACTTTGATAATTCACCATCACATGCTAGACTGTAGGACTAAATTAAAGGATTAAAATCGGAATTTAATTGACTGAGAATCATGGAATTTATTGCCTGAAAGTCTAGTGTATGTGCTGGTATTTATATGCTGATGTGTTGGTTTTAATGCTGAAATTTAGATTTATGAAATTTAGATTTTAATGCTGGTCTTTCTCTGTTCTGATGTTTAGATTTATGAACTATGTATTATATAATTATTAGGTAATGTTTGGGACAAAATTGTTGACTTGCACCATGCAATTCATATATATATATAACCTGTGCAGTTCACATTCGTTCCTTAATCCCAGTTGCCTAGTTTGGTTCTACCCAGCAGCCTTCCTAGCTGATTCCAGCCGGTTCGCTTATGTCTATGCTTCATAATAGATATGCAGAAATAGAAGTCAGTGAATGGAGGGCCCATCTATTAAAGAAATAGGCGTAAAAACAAAGGTTTTTCAACCTATCTTTCGTTTTGACCTCTTTTTCCTTGAAATTACCCTTATCAAATAATTTCAGGAGCATAATTTTATTAAACCGTGTTACCTTTTGGACAAGGTGGGTAGAATTATTTAAAATAATGCTAAAATACAACTAATGTTATATATATCTATGTATGTGGGGTCCCCAATTATATGTCATCCATGAGATCATCAATGAGACTTGTAAGGGAAGCTACCAAAATGACGTACAGAGGAAGATTGTTTTGAAGCCTATAAATAGGCCTTGTACATGCACTAAATGATATAACTTCTTTTGTCTCTTAATTCTTACACTCTCTTTCGTCTTCTCTCTCTCTTCATATATATATATATATATATATATATATATATATATATATATTTATTATACGTTATCAGCACGAGATTTAAAGAAGAAAGTTTTCTCTCCCTCTTTATATCCCAACTATATATCTATTTTGTGATATTATTTTTGATAAATTGTTGGGTTGATTTGCTTTATAGAAGAAAATAATATTTCTGACTCCAAATGGTAAGGAAATTTTAATTATGGATTCTTGTTAGTAAAATAATGTTGTTCACTTAAATGATATATATGCTTATATTATGGTCGGTTCTACCACCTTTATTATTTAATAATTTACTAATTATGGTCGGTCTTACCACCTTTATTATTTAATATTTTATGACTGGTTATACCGCATTTATTGTTTAATAATTTATTTATAATGACCGGATTGACCAATATTGTTGTTTAAATAATTTATATTATGTTATTATTTCATTTTAATTCCATTTTATTTATATGCTAAATTATATATTTATATTGTTGTCACATCTAGTTATTTTGAAAATGTCAAATTTGACAAAGTTGGAATTCGTGACCCTGGATATTTCTGGCAAAAATTATTTATCTTGGATTCTGGATGCTCGGATCCATTTGGAGGCCATGGGCCTTGGTGACACAATTAAAGAAGACAATGAGGCATCATTGCAAGATAAAGCAAACACCATGATTTTTCTTCGGCGCCATATTAGTGAAGAACTGAAAACTGAATACCTCACTGAAAGAGATCCACTTTGTTTGTGAAATAATTTGAAAGAAAGATATGATCTTCAAAAAACAGTCATCCTCCCAAAGGCCAGGGCTGATTGGCTGCAACTGAGGTTGCAAGATTTTAAAATTGTGGCTGAATATAACTCTGCTCTATTCAAAATTAGCTCTATATTGAAATTATGTGGTGATACTGTTACAGATGAACTTTTGCTAGAAAAAACATTCACCACATTTCACGCCTCGAATGTACTCTTGCAACAACAATATCGAGAGCGTAGATTTAAAAAATATTCAGAGCTGATATCATGTTTGCTGGTGGCAGAGCAAAATAATGAGCTTTTATTAAGAAACCACCAGTCCCGTCCAACTGGATCGACACCGATCCCTGAAACATATGTTGCCTTATCTCGTGGTCGTGGACGCGAACGTGGACGTGGTCGTGGTGGTAGAAATAGCCATAATAATGAATATGGTCGTGGTAAAAATAACTACCACAATAATGACTATGGCCGTGGTAGAAGTCATTATTATTACCGTGAATGATATCAATCCTCACATTCTCACAATTAGAGATCCACACCATATCCTCAAAGGAGAGATCATAATGAAATGAGATAAGTAAAAGGAAAGGATGTGACCCAACCTCCCAAAATACATGATAATACTTGTTATCGGTGTGGCATGACAGGGCATTGGCAAAGTATTAAACCGAAGCATCTGGCTGATCTTTACCAAGCCTTAATGAAAGAAAAGGGAAAACAAAAGGAAATGAATTTCCTTGATCATGATGAGCCAGTTGACACCACAAATCTGGAAATGAATTTCATTAATCATGATGAGCCAGTTAACATCACCAATCTGGATGTATCAAATTTTTTTGATGATCGTGATGGAAGGATAGACTTCCTGATTGGTGATGGAAATGTCCACACCAGTTAATCTTATGTTTTGTTTTCATGTTCTGTCTACTATATTTCTATTTTCCTTGTATTTTCCTTGTATTAAAGTTTTTATTTTCTAGTTTGTATCAAAGTTTCTTTTGTTATAAAAGTTTCTTTTCTGATAAAGAAATTTGCATGAATAGGATTGGATCTGACTATTACCAAAATAAATGGTGAAGATATATGTCTTGCAGATAGTGGAACAACACATACAATCCTTCGAAATTAAAAATATTTTTCTCACCTAACTCTGAGATGCCAGTGTCAGTACCATATCAGGTCCCACCGACTTAATTAAAGGCTCCGGACGAGCCAACATCATTTTACCACATGGAACAAGATTACAAATCGATGATGCCTTATATTCTACAAGATCTCGGAGAAATCTATTGAGTTTTAAAGATTTGCGTCGTAATGGGTATCATATTGAGACTGTAAATGAAAGAAATGTGGAATATCTCTACATTACTTCTATTACCTCAAGTAAGAAACTGATATTAGAAAAACTCCCTATTTTCTCTTCTGAGTTATACTATACAACCATTAGAACAATTGAGTCAAATGTTGTGATCCATAAAAAATCTTGTGACCCAAAACTTTTTATGCTTTGGCATGATCGACTTGGTCACCCAGGGAGTACAATGATGCGTCGAATTATTGAAAATTCACATGGACACCCACTAAAGGATCAAAAAATCATCTTACCAGATAATCATCTATGCACCGCCTGCTCACAAGGTAAGTTGATTATCAGACCATCCCCTTCAAAAGTCATTGTTGAGTCTCCTCCATTTTTACAACGAATTCACGGAGATATATGTGGGCCAATTCATCCATCCTGTGGACCATTTCGTTATTTTATGGTTTTAATTGACGCCTCAACACGATGGTCACATGTTTATCTGCTTTCTACTCGTAATGTTGCATTTGCTAGACTTCTTGCTCAAATCATCAAATTACGAGCACATTTTCCTGATTACTCAATTAAGACAATCCGTCTTGATAATGCTGCTGAATTTTTTTCTCAAGCTTTTGATGATTATTGCATGTCAGTTGGAATTAATGTTGAACATCATGTTGCACACACTCATACTCAAAATGGTATGGCTGAATCTTTTATTAAAAAACTTCAGCTAATTGGTCGTCCTTTGCTTATGCGAACAAAATTGCCTGTTTCTGCCTGGGGTCATGCCATATTGCATGCTGCATCATTAGTTCGTATACGACTAACTGCTTATCATAAGTACTCACCATTGCAACTTGTTTTTGGTCAACAACCAAATATCTCTCACATACGAGTTTTTGGTTATATTGTATATGTTCTAATTGCACCGCCCCAATACACTAAAATAGGTCCTCAACGTAGACTTTGTATTTATGTTGGTTTTGATTCTCCATCTATTATTAGATATCTTGAACCTATGACATGTGATGTCTTTAAAGCACGATTTGCTGACTATCATTTTGATGAGATAGTTTGTCCACCATTAGGGGGAGAAAAGGCACAGGAGCAATGTGATCTTACTTGGAATGCCCTGGAATTGTCTCATTTTAATCCTCGTACAAATCAATATGAATGAGAAGTTCAGAGGATCATTCACTTGCAAAATGTTGCAAATCAATTACCTGATGCATTTACTGATACAAAGAAGGTGATAAAATCACATATACCAACTGCAAATGTGTCAGCTCGAATTGCTGTCCCTGAGGGACCTTCAGTCAGTAATACAGCAAATGCATCTAAAACACGCCTAAAGTGTGGCAGACCAGTTGGTGCAAAAGATATTGTTCCTCGTAAAAAGAAATCACAAAGAAAAGCTGGCACTCTTAAAGAGGCCACAAAAAGAGCAACAAATATTATTGATCAATTTGAGATAATAGCTTTTGATAAAGCAGAGGCTTTTGATAAGTCTTAGGTACCAAAAGATGATGAAATAATAAATATTGATGAGGCAAAGGCAACAGATGATGATATGGCCCTTGATGAGGCACATGCCCTTGATGAGGCAAAGGTACTTGAAAATGATGAGATCTCATTAAATTATGAAATGAGATGGAATAGAAATGAAATTGTTGTTGACAACATATTCTCATATCTTGTTGCTCTTGATATTGAAAATAAGGATCCGGAACCTCAAAACGTCAAAGAATGTCGACGAAGAAATGATTGGCCAAAATGGAAAGAAGCGATGCAAGTAGAGTTAAATTCATTAGCTAAACATGAAGTATTTGGACCAGTAGTCCAGACACCTGAGGGTGTTAATCTTGTTGGGTATAAATGGGTGTTTGTACGAAAGCGTAATGAGAAAAATAAAATCGTGAGATACAAAGCCCGACTTGTAGCTCAAGGTTTCTCACAAAGACTTGGTATTGATTATGAGGAAACATACTCCCCTGTGATTGATGCAACTACTTTTAGATTCATCATACATTTTACAGTCACAGAAAAATTGCATATGCATCTAATGGACGTGGTTACATCATATTTATATAGATCACTAGATAATGATATTTATATGAAAATCCCAGAAGGATTTAAAATGTCTGACACAAAACCACGTAATATGCACTCAATAAAATTACAATGATCCTTATATGGATTGAAACAATCTGGACGAATGTGGTATAATCACCTTAGCGATTACTTACTCAAAGAAGGGTATGTGAACAGTCATATTTGTCAATGCATTTTTATTAACAAACCAGAATCTGGTTTTGTTATTGTTACAGTATATGTTGATGATCTGAACCTTGTGGGAACATTGAACGAGATCGAAAAGACGGCCACTTATTTAAAGAAAGAATTTGAAATGAAAAATCTCATAAAGACAAAATTCTGCCTTGGGCTGCAGGTTGAACATTTTTCGAACGGTATTCTCATCCATCAATCAACATATACAGAAAAGATTCTGAAATGCTTTCATATGGATAAAGCCTATCCATTGAGCTCCCCAATGGTTGTCCAATCACTTGACATCAAGAAAGATCATTTTTGTCCTCTAGAAGATGATGAAGAATTCCTTAGTCCTGAAGTGCCCTATCTCAGTGCGATTGGTGCTCTTTTGTATCTTGCAAATTGCACAAGACCTGATATAATTTTTCCAGTCAATTTATTAGCACGGTACAATTCTGCACCAACTCGCAGACATTGGAATGGAATCAAACACAAACTGCGATATCTTCGTGGCACAACTGATATGGGCTTGTTTTATTCGAAGGCACCAAAGTCTCCATTAGTTGGATATGCAGATGCCGGCTATCTTTCTGATTCACATAAAGCTTATTCACAACAGGATATGTGTTTACCTGTGGCGGCACTGCTATATCATGGCGATCAATGAAACAGACAATGATTGTAACTTCTTTAAATCATTCTGAGATACTCGCAATTCATGAGGCAAGCAGGGAATGCATTTGGTTGAGATCAATGATCCAGCATATTCGAACAACATGTAGTCTCTCATCAATAAAAGAAAGCCCAACAGTATTATATGAAGATAATGCGGCATGCATTACACAGATGAAAGAAGGGTATATTAAAAGTGATAGGACCAAGCACATCTCACCAAAATTCTTTTATGCACATGAACTCCAGAAAAAATGTGATATTGATATTCAGAAGATACGTTCATGTGAAAATCTAGCAGATCTATTCACTAAAACGCTTCCAACTACGATATTCAAGAAGTTGGTGCACAACATTAGAATGCGTCAACTAAAGGATCTTCAGGGTTGATCTAATGAGGGGGAGCAAGTGATCAAAGAAGTATTGACATGCTGCACTCTTTTTCCTTCGTCCAGGTTTTGTCCCACTGGATTTTCCTGGCAAGGTTTTAATGAGGCAATTTTACTCTATGTAATACCATTTTCAGATACATAAGAATATTGTACTCTTTTTCCTTCGCTAGGGTTTTATCCCACTGGGTTTTCCTTAGCAAGGTTTTAACGAGGTATATTCTTAATGTAGTATTGTGGACCCCAAGGGGGAGTGTTATATATATTTATGTGTGTGGGGTCCCCAATTATATGTCATCCATGAGGTCATCAATGAGACTTATAAGGGAAGCTACCAAAATGGCGTACAGAGGAAGTTTGTTTTGAAGCCTATAAATAGGCCTTGTACATCCACTAAATGATATAGCTTCTTTTGTCTCTCAATTCTTACACTCTCTTTCGTCTTCTCTCTCTCTTCATATATATATATATATACACACATATATATTTATTATAACTAATAAATAATTACTAATATTCAGATTATAATATAAGCAATGAATTATTAACGATAAGACAATGCCCAAGTCTAAAGAATAAGGAAGGCCTAATTATGGAAAACAGACCAGTTCAAAAACAACAATGGTTTAATTTTTTTAATTTTTATTTTTATTTTTTATGTTTCCAAACAATGGATTAATTAGGATGGAGATATTAATATCTTTGCTGGGCATGAATTGCTTTAGTTGGTGGGCTGCCCATCACATATTACAGGTCTTCTTACATTCTTTATCTGCTACTTGGGTCTCCACACATGTCACGATCTAGTTGGTAACTTCACACCAAAGTGTAAATATAGGGTATTCTTACAACCTTCAACAGGTTATTATAATTCATAACTTCATTACAAGTATTCGTTACTATATCAATAATTAAATCCATGTTAACAAACTTGTATATTAATCTACTCTGGCACATAATTATTTAATGGTTTAAGTTAAAAAGCCATTCATTTTTCTTGAATTATTAAATGATTTGAATATATCAATGGTCAATTTTCTTTCTGATTCGCACCCTCTTCTATCAGGGGAGGGTCGAGACCATATGCCAGTGCTACTAATGCATATAGGATAACGTTGTACTAAATTTTTTATTTTTGGATAACTAGTATTGATTAAGTGTTAAATTGGTATATAAAAATAGATATTATTATATAACGTGTAATGTACTAAATAACGTTTGTTTTAACCACTTTTGGTGTAAAAGTTGGTCGGTTTTACCAACCTTTCCTAAACAAAATAATTGAATATATTTATATTTAATTATTTTGCCCAATTATTTGGATAACTTAGTATTGGTTACGTGTTAAATTGGTATATAAAAAATAGATATTATTGTATAATGTGTAATGTGTTAGATAACGTTTGTTTTAACCAATTTTGATATAGTGGTTGGTCGGTGTTACCACTTGAGTGGAAAGTGGGAAAAATGTTATATTGGCTGATTTGGTAGTGTACGTGTTATATGTTATTGATTTATAAAGGAAATTATTTCAACTAATTAAGTTACAAATTAATTTGGGTTAATGTTTTAACTGTGCATTAAATTCTATAATATGTTTTATGATTTTAATCATATTTATTATTACTGACGCGATCTTATACTTGATTTGTATCCTGTTTAGTACTTGAGCTATTCATATTTATAGCTGAGATGATTTAAATGATTATGTAATTTTATGATTTGCATTTAAATGATGGAACTTACATAAATTGTTCACTTTAATTATTGTTGAACTTATACATGATTATATATATATATATATATATATATATATATATATATATATATTTTGAAGTGAGAGCCATTGTCAGGATATGGCTAAAGGTGTGTTGTAATCATTGAGATAGTTAATAAGTTAGTCTTTTTGATATGTGTGCCATTGTCAGGATATGGCTGTGTGGGTTAATGAGATCATTGAGATATCTATTAAGCTAGTCTCCTTGATATGTGTGCCATTGTCAGGATATGGCTTATGTGTATATATATAGATATATATGTATGGCCCCGATATGAGCTTGAGTCTCCTGATTGGTGGTTAGGACTGAGGTGTGTATTACCAAAGATGAGTAACCAAATATAGGAGATGTGCATGCCCTAGTAGATGTGGTCTGCTAGTCCACCATTGTATGCGTTTTGCTAGCTGGTATTGTCTATCCGGTTGAGTCTGCCCTATATTATGGTGAGCATCTTTGTGTGTATATATTTATTGATTATTTAGCTATTGCATGAGTATAGCTATGGATGTTGTCTGTATCAGGTCTCTAATTGGGTTGTAATAGATTAGAACTTGCTTGTGGGTCTAACCCACCATTGTTTTCAGGTTATCGGATGTTCCAGACCTAGAGTAGCTGTAGTTGCTGATCAGAGACGTTCTTCATCACTCTTCTGGATTGCTACGATATAGGATCATGTTTTTTTATTTTTGTTTCCTGTTTCCAAACCTAGACTTTTAGATGTTTGGATTAATGAGATTTTTTAGGGGTCCTTGAATATTGGATTCTCAAGCTGTACTAGTTAGAGATTTTATTTATTTAAGGATTATTATTCATTAGTTAGTTTTCCTTCAGCTTACTTATTATTCTTATTTGTCCTTCTTGTAATCCGTGCTTGTTTAAATACCTTAATTATTTTTTTGATATCCCGGGTCTTTGGGTGTGGGCCTGGCCAACCTACACGTGGAAATTCGGGGGTATCATAGGACACAATACCTACATGGTATGTTTTTCGAAGTTACCAAAAACAGGATTTCCAAGTTATATTAAAAATATGTTAAGTGGGAACTAGTACCAAATTTGAGAACCAGTTTAAGAACCTTAGATTCGAAGAACACCATTCTGTCTTTTGGAAACCAGTTCCACATTTGGCTACCGATACCACTGTTGTTTTAGATTAAGGTAACTTTGTCCTATTCTGTTTCAAACTTCCTAGTTGGTTTAGAATATTACCAAAAGTCCCATGCATGAGATTTCCTTTATTTTATGAAGGATTAGGTCTTTGAATATTCTATATAAACCCTAATATTAATCTAGGTTTGTAAGACTTTTGTACTACAACTTCATAATTCATAAAAAGCCTTAGAGAGATATTTTTGCAAAAAATCAAAGTTGATTTTTCTGTCATTCTTTTTAGAACATGCACATAAACACAAGAGTGATTTTAGAGTGTTGTTCAAATCCTGATTGTTACCAAAGTCTTACATCTATAACGATCGAAGAAAAACAGATCTACTTCTACATTGAATTCATATATTGAAAAATAGAAGTAAAAACGATCACTCTTTGAAAGGCTCAAAACATTTGAGGAGTATTGTTTTATCTACCTGCAACCCTTCTACAGAGATCAAGAATAAGCATGAGGTTATGTGCTGTTAGACGGAACGTTGCAAAGCCAGAGGATTGTCAGTTATTGGTGTTTAGTAGAACGATAGGGTGTGAGCCTGAGTCAAAGTTCATTGTACTTTATTTCAAACATATTGGATTGGTTTACTTTAGATTGAACAGTTCACGAGGTTTTTCCCGCGTAAAAATTGGTCTATTTTACCAATTGAAGTTTCCTCACTAAAAATCCTAGTGTCATCTCTAACTCAATTACTTTGCTTTATTTTATCTTGCATGTGATTAATTATGTAATTACTAAAAGAAGTAAAGTTAGAAAGACACAGATTTGTTTCTAAAAATACAAAACTTTCTAAATATTCCACTGCGTACAACACACAAATTAGCATCAGAGCCAATCTCTACACATTGAGTTGATCCTTGTGGAAAGTTTTGATTGATTTGAAAATTTTGTTTTCATCATGTCTTATGCGTTAAAAAAAAGAGGTTCTAATCAACATGATCCTTTTATTTGATAGGAACAATTGCAATTGTTGGAAATATAAGATGAGAGCTTATTTGCAAAATTCAGGAGGTAAAACTTGGACTATTGTTGAATCTGGTTATACACCACCTACAGAAGATAAAACTATAGATGGTAAAGAAATAAAAGTTTTGAAAGATGTCTTTGTTTTTACTGCTGTTGAAACTGAGTGTAATGATACTAATGACAAAGCTTTATATGTAATTATTAATTCAGTTATTCCATCTGAATATGTTAGAATTTCTGATTGTAAAACTGTTAAAGACGCTTAGGATATTTTGCAAGTTATTCATGAAAGGACTTTAAAAGTGAAGTTATCCAAAATCCAGATGCTTTTTTTTTTTCCTAGTTGGGTACTCACACACACATGCCTCTACGGAGGCTCGAACCTCTGACCTCTCTTTGAGAAATAGGGGCTTGGTACCACTAGGCGCCTGTTGGTAAAAATATCCAGATGCTTTCTCATAACTTTGGGAATATCGTGATGAAAGAAGATGAATCATTTTCTGATTTTTATTCTAATCTTCTTGAAATTATTTCTGAACTGCGTCATTTAGGTAAAAAAGTTAGTGATAAGAAAATCTGTGAAAAAATCTTAATGTCTTTACCTTAAAGATTTCAAATAAGGGTAGAAACTATCACTGAACATTGGGATTTGTCTATTTCTAAAGTTGATGAAGTTGTAGGTTCATTGAAAAATTTTGAGATACAGAATTTTGATTTCAATCAGAAGGAAAAGAATCTTGTTTTAAAATCAACATAGGTTGAGAATTTTGTCGATGACAATTCAGATGATGATTTTGCTTTTCTGTCAAGGCAATTCAATCAAATTTTGCAAAGACAACAGAGGAGAAGGAATGGTAATGGGGCCAATCCTTAAAATTTTGACAAAAGGTCAAAATTGAGATTTAATGGAAAAAAAGTAGGAGAGTCAGAAGAAATTGAATTCACTTGCTGGAATTGTGGTGGCAAAGGTCATGCATCCAATATTTGTCCTAGTCCTAAGAAAGATCAAAAGGATATGAATAAAGGAAAAGTAATGAGAGTTTCTAATTCTGAAAATTCTACTTCTAGTGATAATGATTCTCCTTATGATGATTGCAATGTTTTTTCTTATGTCGCTTTTCTTGAAAAATGTCCTCATGTTGTTACTTTATCTGACTATGATATTTCAGATAATAAAGACACTGAAGTTCTTGACGAACAAACATAAGAGGTTGAAAATAATGAAGAAAGATTTAAGAAGATGGTCAAAGAAATTATTGAAGTCAAACTAGCTGTCAATAAGTTAGCAAAAGAGGAGAATTAAGATCTAAGAAAACATATTGATAAAGAAAAAAGAAAAGCTTTTGAAAGCGATTCAATCATCACTGAGCTTAACAGGAAGATCATCATTCTTGAAGATAAGGTAAGTAGTGTTAACTCCTTGAAAGAATATCTTGGTTTGAAAATTAATTATCTTGAACTTGAATTAAAATCTACATAAGATAAACTGACGGGATTCACTATGGGTCAAGATTGTTTGAATAAACTGATCAACATGGGTAAGGATGTGAATGATAAAACTATGTTAGGTTTTGTTAAAGGTTCATCTAGTAGTCAAGGTAAAATAGTTTTTGTTAAACCTACTAATAATTCTACGCCAAATCCATGTTTTACTGATGCATTGCATTCTGATATGTCATATGTGCCTAAATTTGTTGCATTGCACTTTTTGTGGTAAGAGTGGACATAGTCATCATTCATATTTTCACAAGAAAAAGAAAGAGTTTTCTAAAATTCATTCTCATAATGTTTATGCTAAGAAAAAGGTGCATTCTAAGAAGAAAAAGAATTTTGTGTCACCTAAGAATTCGAAAGCTGAAAATTTGCCTAAGAAATAGGTTAAATATAAAAAAAAAATTTAGGAAGTGAGATTGTGATGACCATATGGGCGGGTGTGCCGTGGCCAGGTGCGAGACACTGACAGGCTACCATACTAGCGAGTTACGAATGCACAATCCCATATTGCCTGGGAAAGCAAAAAAGTGAAGTGCTTATATGTAGGTGTGTTACTCCAATTGGTATGAGACCTTTTGGGGTAAAGCCCAAAAGCAAAATCGTGCGGGCTCAGACCCAAAGCGGACAATATCATACCATGTGGTGGAGTGGACCATTACAAATGGTATCAGAGCTTGACCCAGCCAGAAGTGTGCCGACGGGGACGTCGGGCCTCCAAGGGGGGTGGATTATGATAACCTTATGAGCGGGTGTGTCGTGGGCGAGTGCGAGACACTGACAGGCTACCACACTGGCTAGCTACGGGTGCACAATCCCACATCGCTTAGGAAAGAGAAAGGTGAAGTGCTTATATATAGGTGTGTCACTCCAATTGGTATGAAGCCTCTTGGGGTAAAACCAAAGAGCAAAATCGTGCGGGTTCAGGCCCAAAGTGGACAATATCATACCATGTGGTGGAGTAGGTCGTTACAGAGAGTGAAAACTATGTGGATCAAAAAGAATGATTTTATCAATTATGTGTCAATTGAGTCCGTGAAACTAGTTTCCAAAAGGAATTTACCTTCAAACTGAGTCCTAGGGTGATTAGTGATCATGGTCTGTGCTTAAATGAAAATTTTGTTTCCATTGGATCACTTGTTAGGGTTTGGTTAAAGTATTGAATTATTGATCATATTCTTCATGATACATGTATGTAAATTCTTTCAGATTGAACTTATGATCTATCTTTAATTACAAATTGAGACACATGATGATTTGATAAAAATAAATTATTGGCTTGTAATCTATATATTGAAAGATAATTTGCATTGATTAGGAGATTTTTAGATTTGAATCTCTTAAGTTCATAGTTTTTGTGCACTAGTTCGTCTCTGAAAAATTTGATTAAAAATCTTTAAATTATTGACTAAGGTATATTGGTCACAAATAGTATAAAGGTTATTATCTGAGAAAAAAAAATAGGAGCCTAAAAAAAATTATTCAGTATAAAAAGAAAAGAAAAATTGAAAAAGTTATTAAATTCTTTGTTGAGGAAAATGCTACCTATTAAGTTTGGGTCGAAAGATCCCATTAGACTTTGAAGAGGAGCTAATTGAGTAAAAAGAAAGGTGGAGATAAGTTGACATGGGTAATTGCTGTCTGCTCTTTAGAGTGAAAGTTATCTTGCTTAGAAAAATTACTAAAAAAAATAATCTTATAAACTGTTTGATTGCTTCTCTTCTATTTTTTTCTTCGCTCTGATCATTATTAAATGCTTTGTCAATTTGTTCCAAAAAGGGGGAGAACAATGGTTAATTAAGGGGAGAAAATTGGATAATTTATTCAGGGGAAGTTTTTATAACTTGTTTTATTAAACTTTCATTGGTAGTTTTGCTTAATCCATGTGTAGGAAATCAGGTAAAATTTTGTCCAAGAGAATAAGAGAACAGAGAAGAAAAATTCCATATTATCCTTTATCAAAATTGTAATTTCCTTTTCTACTTGGGTAGATTACGTAATTGTTTTTAGGGTTTTGTCACGAAATTGCCAAGAGGGGAGATTGTGAGATATTATTTTTGTAATTAGCAAATTTCGATGTCAAAACAAGTCTTGATTGAGTTTTAATTTCAAGTTACCATATCAAGATCGAGATCTAATGCTGAATTAGAAGGTTGTTCGAAGATGGTAAATTGAGATCATCAAAACAGGAAAGAACAACACTTTTAGGAAGGTGTTTTCCACTTTGGACACAATACCTACATGGTATGTTGTTCGAAGTTACAAAAAACAGGATTTCCAAGTTATATCAGAAACCTATCAAGTGGGAACCGGTACCACATTTGGGAACTGGTTCAAGAACCTTAGATTCGAAGAATACCATTGTGTCATTTGGGAACTGGTTCCACATTTGGCTACCGATACCGCTGCTGTTTTAGATTAAGGCAACTTTGTCCTATTATGTTTCAAACTTCGTAGTTGGTTTAGAATATTACCAATAGTCCTATGCACGAGATTTCCTTTATTTTATGAAAGATTAGGTCTTTGAATATTCTATATAAACCCTGATATTAATCTGGGTTTATATAGCTTTTGCACTACAACTTCATAATTCATAAAAGCCTTAGAGAGATATTTTTGCAAAAAATCAAAGTTAATTTTTCTGTCATTCTTTTTAGAACATACACATAAACACAAGAGTAATTTTAGAGTGTTGTTCAAATCCTGAATATGATTAAAGTTTTGCATCTACAACAATCAGAGAAAAGCAGATATACTTTTACATCGAATTCAGATATTGAAGAACAGAAGTAAGAGCGATCACACCTTGAAAGGGTCAAAGAATTCGAGGAGTGTTGTTTGATCTACCTGTAACCCTTCTACAGAGATCAAGAATAAGCCTGAGGTTAAGTGCTATTTGACGGGACGTCATAAAGCCAAAAGATTGTCAGCTATTGGTGTTTGGTAGAAGTATAGGGTGTGAGTCTGAGCCAAAATTCAGTGTACTTTGTTTCAAATATAGTAGATCGGTTTACTTTGGACTGCGTAGTCTATGAGGTTTTTCCCATGCAAATAATTGGTCTATTTTACCAATTGGAGTTTCCTTTCTAAAATCCTGGTGTTATCTCTAACTCTATTACTTTGCTTTATTTTATCTTCCATATGATTAATTATTTAATTAATAAAATAAGTAAAGTTAGAAAGACACAGATCTGTTTCTAAAAATACAAAACTTTCTAAATATTCTGTTACGTACTACTCACATTGTTGATATAATTCAAATGGTTGTATAGTTGTTTCCATCACTGAAAGTGATTGGGAGGACACAAGACGAAGAGGCAAAGGCAGTTGCAATAGTGCAAGTGGTTGCAGGATTGGTGCTGCTGGAGGAAGCATTTGTCAAGTGTAGCAGAGGGAAGGCTTTCTTTGGTGGCTATAATATTGAGTACCTTGACATAGCATTCAGGTGCTCCTTGCCGTGGCTAAGGTTGACGGAGAAGAGGATAGGCTTGCAGCTCCATGACGAGACAAGGACGCCGTATCTTATGGGATAGGCGGAGAGGTTTTGCTCTGATGATGTAGTGAAGGATGCCATTGTTCAAGAGACTGAGAAGTGTTAGGGATAATTAACTCCTTCCAACCCATTCAACGGTCAGTTGTTGTTGAGAATTAAATCCCCCATTCATCACACCTAGTGTGTGATACCCCCAGATCTCCAGATGCGGGTTGGCCAGGCCCATGCCAGATCACTCGAGGATATCAAACCAATTAGCAAGGATCTAACGATCTCTGATGGTCATCTGGATTATCAAATAGATATCAAAATTTGAGACAAAATCATTATGTCCCTTCCCCTGCATGTCCGGTACCACCATCGTTATCTGCTCCCATTGCTTAATTTGAAACAGTAGGATGTCAGAGATTGATCACACACTTATGTCCCCAACTAAACCGTATTCCCATTCCAGACTAATTAACAAAAACGAAACACATAAAGCACACACAATCACACACACACACACAAAAAAAAAAAAAAATTTACGTAAAACAGTGTTCCTCCTGATAAAGAAAATCTTCTTCAGGAATCCACTTTACGTTATTGGTTCACAATCATTTTTTTTTTTTTTTTTTTCCCAATTTCGGAGGTAATCAACCAATCTCGAAACATAAGCTCAAATCATAGCTTAAAACAAAATCCATTTGCCTCAGCAAATTACAAAGGCTTAACCCCCATCCTCCTTATTCACGAAATGCAAACTATTTAATGTAGCTCTAAGAAAGCAACTTAGACTGTCACAACCTAATCCCCATATTCCTCGGACTGTGATATAAAATTATTGCTGCGTTCCAAAAAAACTCCATCCGATCCTAAACTCCTGAAGAGTTCTCCTTATCTACTTCTTTTAAGGTAATATGAAAGGTTAACTATATGTAGGTTGATCCACACCAAGTCTACAAGTATCATTCACTATACTATTAGCGAACAAAATCACCCTCACGCGATCCTTGATTTCCAAGATTCAATACCCTCTTTCTTGAGTATGTTGAAATCTCCTCCATTAGAAACCTATTCGGACTCCTATTCCTCGGTTGTCTCCTTTATGAGAACAACTAAAATCATGCTGGTCCCTTTATGCAGTGACCAAAAATGCACTCCTATATCCCTCATTAGCTTATACTTCTAAAAGTAGCACCAACCAGAACTAAACCTTCAATCCCAAGTTCTGCTTCTAACAGAGAACTCGATAACGTACTCCTTTACTCCTTCGGGTCTGATTCGCTGTCGCCTTAGACCCCATCCTCCTTCTAGTGTCAACCATTCCATAGTTATGAAATATAATTGACATTAGTTGCTCCTCCTAACGAACCGTAAAAGAGTACAATGAATCCTAATATGGCTCTAAGTTTTTAAGAGACGCAACGCGGAAGACTTCTAACGAAAGACACTCCTAAGGACACTAGAACCTGGACTACTCTGATACCAACTATGATACCCCCAGATCTCCGGATGCGGGTTGGCCAGGCCCACGCCAGATCACTCGAGGATATCAAACCAATTAGCAATAAATGAACACAGAATACAATTAAGTTAAAACAGAAATAAATAAAACGCTGAGAGAGCTAAAACGATAACCCAAAAACTTTTATTGTTAAACAAAAACATCTAATACAAATCATCCTCTATCTTATACAACTCGAGAATCCATCTCTTGTGGACCCCTAATCAAAATCCAAACCAAAACACAAATACTAAAAGAACATCCAAAGTTAAATCATGGAGAGAAGTCCTACATCATCGGAAGAGTGAGTAAAAGTCTCTGCTCAGCACAATCAAGTCTACGACTGGAACTGTCGAACACCTGAAAAATAGAAGTGGGTCAGACCCACAAACAAGTTCTATCCTACTACAATCCGAACAGAGACTCGATACGCATGTACATCCTAACCAATTCAACAATAACTAAATAGTCCGTAGATATATATATAATCACACTACAGGACTCTCACTGGACTACAGGCCCGTCTCAACCTGACTAGTAGGCACCATGCAAAATGCACCTGAGGTGGGCATGACTACCTAGGCCTAGCAGGGTACACATCCAACCATCATAGCCAGCTATGCATCCCAATGCATATACGCTCCCTGGCCAACGACTCTGAGACTCAGGCTCATAACGTGGCACTATAAAAATATAATTAAATTCCATTCCAAAATCCATAGTAGTGCCGCTCAACTATATGTTGCCTTGACACTACAAATAAAATAGGATTAAAATTTTAGTTAATCCATTCCTTAATTCCAGAGTAGGTAGGACTTAGCGTTTTTGAGCTAATCCCCCTAGTATGAAACCGTCCCATACCGGTGCATACAATCTATCCATCAATGATGCACATTCATTAAAACATAAAAACATCCAGAGTCCGACATAATAGCAATCAGATATAAACAAGATTCTATTATGCATACAGTACATGATTAAAATCATGAAACATCCATTTAAATTGCTAAAATAATGATATCCAATTTAAACTATCCACTTCCATAAAATTTACAGAACATAAATTTATACAGTCCACCAATTAACGTCCATAGCATGGTATAATGAATATTAGAATCATAAACTGCACATTATACTAGAATTCCCAACCGATTCTTCCATACTAGCTCGTTTGAATTTCTAAAACAAAAGCTAGTAAATAAATCCTCCTATATCCTTGATGGCATGCAAAGTCATATTTAAATTTCATGTCATCAATTTCAATCTTTAACTATAAATCCTGAGAATAACATAATGGTACATAGAAAATATAAGCTGATCACATTATATGAATTCCAAAAATACTTCCATACCAGTCCGTTTAGTTTGCTAAATTAGAACTAGTAACTAAAACTTCTACAACTCCCGACAGCATGCAATTTAATATCTAAAGTTCATGAAATCTATAACCACATCCTAAACCAACGTTCCTTGGACTTAAATATGTTATATACATTATTGTCATAAATTCCCAAAAACTAATTTTCATACCAAACTATTTAGTTTGCTAGAACAGAACTAAAGAAAAAATTTAAACCTTCCTCCATCCTTGACAGCACACCTATTAATATCTAAAGAAATCATGATGTCCACTTCCAAAGCTTAAACCAATAATTTTAAGTCTTTAATGTGTTTTATACTTCATTTAAAAACCCTCATTAAAGTCCAGAATTTCCTTTTAGCCCTAGAGAAACAAAAATCCTCCAATTTAAAGTAGAGGAGGCTCCACTTGGGTAGAGGGGGCTCCAATTTAAAGTAGAGGAGGCTCCACTTAGGTAGAGGGGGCTCCAATTTTAAGTAGAGGAGGCTCCACTCTTCTCAGCCTCTATCTTCCTTCTCCATCGTGTTCCAGACCCTCTGTCTTCCATGGTTAATGTTCATACTGGATAATTCTAAGTCCCAGTGTGTTCCAGAACTTTAAAATTCATCATTCATTAACCGACATCAATTAACACAAGAATTAAGCATGAAAGACTTAAAACCAACAATTACCGTTTCAAGAACATATACTGTTTTAATCTATTCTATCATGCAAACCAGATTAATTCTAGTGTTTCCCATTGTGTTCTAGAACTAATTAAATTCTTTGTCCATCAATTAACATCAATTAAATTATGAATTGCGTAGGAAAGAATTTAAAACAAGCAATAATAGATTTGTAAAGCATACTGTTTAAACATCTCAGACATGAAAAATAGATTAATTCTAATCTTTATTTAATCCTGGAATTGTGTTAGAGATGCAAAGAACACAAGTCAAAGAGGGAGAGTTAGGAATAGAACTTGCCTTTGAGGTTTCGGTTCAAAACCTCAGCGTCGTCTTCCTAAAGTTTCAAGCGATTCCTACTGTTCCCGACTCCTCTGTTGCCCTTGGTTCCAACCACGAACAACACTCCTTCCGTCACATCCTGGTCCGACCTTTAATCCACAGTCGAAGCATTAACCAGTTCTCTCTGTTTTCTCTCAAGTCCCTCTCTGTTTTCCTTACAATTCTCACTGTTACGTCTCTCTGTCTATACGTAAGTAGGGTTTGTGATTTCTAACCCTAAGTCGATGTCTAATGACATATTTATAGGCTTAAGGAAAACCTAATTCCCCTATCTTAAGAAGAGACTAAGTCGGCTAACCATGAAGAAACTAAAACCCTAAAAGCAAAATAATGCAAAAGAAAACAATAAAACAATTAAATCAAATTTCCACGTAACATATATTTAAGCCAGAAAAATAATTAAAACAAAATACTCAATTAAATAATTAAATAAACAAATACTATAATTAACTCAATTCAATTAAATACCATTAAAACAAATAAACAAGTAGCCAAATAAACACATAAAAATGAAAAAAAAGTACAATAGAACCATAAAATAAATTTCCTAGACTATCCTTTTAAAATTAGGGGTATTACATAGTGGAAGCATCATCTCATCACAGCAACACAAGTATATATGGAGATAACAATCACAAACATTCATGCACAATACAATATTTTACATGGTTCACCCAACTCTAGGGTTATGTCTATGGAAGAGAGAAATTCCACTATTATGAATCAAGAAAGAGAATATACAACCACATGTCAAAACCACACTCACTCACTCATCATATTTTTTGAGGCTACATGTATACACTCGGGAATTATATATACTCTCCCCTCTCTCACAACACTCACCCTTAAACCCCTTACATCTTTTCTCTTTTCTCTCTCTCTCCCAACCTCTCATACCCATTTCTATTTATAGAGTTTTCAAACCTAATTTCTTATTAGACAAGTATTCCCAAACTTGCCTACAAGGAGTTACCATAATGATCACAACTCTAAAATAGAAATATAATGGGATACAATTTCCTCCACAAAATTTTGCTTTCCAAAATGAAAAGGAAACTAATTTTCTGCACATAAATTTTGAGCCACAAACCCAACAATCTCCACCTTGGCTCAAAATTCAATCTTCACGTGCTTCTCCATAGCTCTACCTCGAATAAAGATCTCATCATAGCTTCACCTCAATTAAAAATTTCTCCACCTCGAACAAAAGTACTATAATAAACTTGAAAAACACTCTAACAAGAAGCTCAATAAAATAGCTAGGTTATCTCATGTCAGGGCAAACTCCTACTTCAGATTAAAATTTCCTACAATCCAAACACTTGGTCGTTGCCTTGACGTGAAAGATGATGTTTTCTTTTTTTTTTTTTAATTTATTTTTTAATGCTTTTTTCTTCATATGTAACTGCTAATGGCAAGACCAAGTTGTTCTGTAATTACCAAAATTGAATCAAAATAAAACAAGATAACAATATTGTCATAGACATAACAAACATGAACATAGGTGAATAAAGCTAGAAAAAATAACTTACCTGAAAAAAAAAAAAAAAAAAAAAAAAAAAAAAAAAAAAAAAAAAACTAGACATTTGACCGCAGATTTTCTTATGTATTCAAACTCGTTAGTTTTTACCCATTACACAAAATAAAAGAAAACTATTTGAAATTTAATACCTCGAAATCCCAGATGAATATATTTATTTTTTGACAACGAAAAATAAGAAAAAAGAAAAATGATAAATATCATAAAAGTTTTTTATGATCTCTTTATCGTAAAAAACGTGGCAGCGCGCAGCTTTGTTTACCAAGTTTTTCCATTTTTTTTTTTCTCTTTTTATTTTCTTCTTTGAGCCAATGTTGAAGAGAGAGGGCAAATAGAGACTTATTTAGGAAACGCATATAGAGCTGTGTTTGGGAGAAAGTAAATATGATAGGCATATTCGTAGACTAATTTAATTCAACTAAACCGATTTTGGCACCACCCAGCTCAGCCTCCCCACTCCCAATGCCGCCATAATGACGCCGTGGTACGCCGCAATGGACTGCACCACCCGTTCAATCGTCTATGATGTCGACAATAACAACTACCGGCCTCTAACCATTTCATGATATAATTGAAATGGTTACGGTGGTTTCCATCACTAAGTGAGATTTAGAAGGGACAAGAAGAGGAGACAGAGCAAGTGGTTGCAGAACTGGTGATGCTGGAGGAAGCATTCTGCATTTGTCAAGTGTAGCAAGGGAAGGCTTTCTTTGGATATAACATTTGAGATTCTTGGGTTGGCTGACGATATCAAAGAATTGAGGAACATTTAATTACAGTTTAAACTACAAAATGTCAGTTGAACCTCAGGATCATAGTTGTCATCTATTTAGGATAATTATTTTGTTCAGCATATATATATATATATATATATATATATATTAATCATGACTTGATTTGAGCAATTTTGACTTGATTCTTATTGTACTTATCAACTGATATTATTCATTTAAGGGCATATCTGGCTGATTTGGTGCCTTGAAATCTCCGTGAATGCAATGGTCCTTTTCTTTGCCTTTGCTTATGTTCGGCCAAGTCACATATGACACACCTACCATCCTAAATCAAGCCAACCAACACTCATATATATATATATATATATATATATATATATATATATTTATATATATAGTAAGAGCTCTTGTTTCAGCCGCCCAAACAACCTATGCTCTGTTTTTTAGCAATTTAAGCCTCCATTGCTTGAGAATTGGACATGGCGACGAGCAATGTAAAGCTCTTAGGAGCGTTGCCAAGCTCATTTACATTACAGGTTCAACTCGCTCTCAACATAAATTCTGTCAAGTATGAATACTAGAACTTAAGTTCCAAAAGTGAGCTCCTCCTTAAACCTTACTCTGTGCACAACACAATACCAGTTCTTATCCATGGTGATAAACCCATATGTGAATCTTTCACAATATACATCGACTAGGTATGGAGCTCAGGTCCCTCCATCCTCCCTTCTGATACCTATGATCACGCCGTCACCCTTTTCTGGACATCCTATATTTGACCAGAAGGTATGATTCCTTTACTTTGTACAATTAGAACTTCTTGAAATCATAAAGACTTGGTGATCATTTATTAGGAAGTGATTGAAGCTAAATAATTTTTTTTATTTTCATAAATAATTGTTTCATTATTTATACAAATTTTTATATAAAAATTATGTTTTGTGTGTAGGAGTATTTGTGACTAAATACTCATACATGATTAATTACAATGGTTATGTAGTTCTTTCCACCACTGGAAGTGATCGGGGCGACACAAGACGAAAAGGAAAGGACAGTGGCAATAAAGCAAGTGGTTGTAATATTGGTGCTACTGGAGGAAGCATTTGTCAAGTGTAGCGAAGGAAAGGCTTTCTTTGGTGGGGATAATATTGGGTACCTTGACATTACATTCGGGTGCTCCTTACCATGGCTGAGGATGACGGAAAAGAGGAGAGGTGTGCAACTGCTGTGAGATATATATTTTATATTTAGCTAATTTCATTGTCAAAACAAGTCTGATCGAGTTATAATTTTTCGATTCAAAGTTTCAAAGATTGAAGATTGGATTCGGATTTGAAGAAGTACAAGTGTTCACGATATACTACACTCTGAAATGATGAGAACAATGCTTTAGGAAGATTGAGAGGTAATGAGAACATATTGGGAGAGTTTTGGAGGTTTTTAAAGAAGATTTTACATTATGTCCATTTTGAACTGGTTCCCAAAATCCTGAACTATTTCAACATCAGCGGAATTGAAAAAATTCAAGATTGGCCATCTTGAACTGGTTCCTAAATTCCTGAACCAGTTAAAGAGTCAAAGAGGTCCTTCGGATTAACTTCTAGCCATCTTGAACTGGTTCCCAAATTCCTGAATCGGTTCAAGACTCCTGATAGGTTATGGTAACTTACCTTTCTTGCTTTGTTTGATTCCTTTTTGGACTAGACTTCTTTCCAAGTCCTATGCACGAAATTTTCTATATATTCAGAGGGATTAGGACTTTCCAAACTCTATATAAACCTTGTTAGTCTTCTAAGTTTATTCATGACTTTAGGGAAAATTAATTCTATATTTTGAGAAAGCCTTTTAGAGAGAGAATTTTCAGAAAATCAAATTTAATTGTTCTAAATTTATTTATGAGAGCATACGCATATATTCATGAGTGATTTAGTAGTGTTGTTCTCTATCTCATCGGAATTGGAGCTATATTGAAGATTCAGAGATTTCGTATAAAGAGCAGGATTTAATTCTTTTACACCGAGTTCAGATCTTGAAGAACAGAAGTAAAAACAATCACACTTTGAAAGGGTTAGAGCATTTGAGGAGTGTTGTCGGATCTACCTGCTACTCTTCTACAAATATCAAGCATAAGCTTGAGGTCAAGTTGCTGTTGGATGGGGAGTTGCAAAGCCAAATGATTGTCAGCAATTGGTGTTTGGTAGAATGATAAGGTGTGAGCTAGAGTCAAAGTTCTGTGTACTTTGTTTCAAACATAGTGAATCGGTTTACTTTGGACTGAATAGTCTACGAGGTTTTTTTCCATATAAACAGTTGATGTATTTTATTAACTGGGGTTTCCTTGCTAAAAATCCTGGTGCAATCTTTCTAAACTTAATTTGCTTTACTTTTCAGTATTTATATTTATGATTGTGGATGTTTAATTGATCATACAATTTAATCAATCATAAATTAAGAAAGTTGACCTAATAATCAGATCTAGGTTATTAAAGGAGTTAATCACAATTAAAATTAGCTAACTGATTTCGCACCCCGCGTAACTCTATTTTCACAATTTGGTATCAGAGCGGGATACTCGATATACAGAGTAGATCATATTTGTTGATTTATTATTGATTTTTGCATCATGTCTCAAAATTCACCTTTTGTTAATGTGTTGCCTTTACCTCTTGTTTTTGATTCTGTCACAAGCATGCAAATTAAGTGGTCCAAGTTTAAAAAGGATTTTGAAAATTTGTTAGAGAAATTGAATCTTGCGGAACTTGATAGAGATATTTATAAGTTAGAAATTTATATCTCTAATAAAAATTTAGAAGAAATTGGCCATAAGAATTTGAATCTTCTTCATAAAATTGATTTTCTATAAAAGAAGCTTAAGAAGGTAAATTTGTTTAATAAATCACTGGAATTGAAAATTGATAATTTGAGTAATGAATTTGTTAAATCAAAACTGTCTTTTCAGAAAATTGATATTGACACTTGCAAAATTGATAAGTTGAAATGAGTGGTTGAAAATATTAGGAGTAACAAAGATTTGACATCAACTTCAAAGGATCTGTATTTTCAAAAATCTAAAGATATTTTTGTGAAAGTTGAAACCAAACCTTGTGTTATTTCTAGTTCTACCAAACTTATTTCAACATGTCATTTTTGTGGTGAAAAAGGACATATCAAATATAAGTGTCAGAAAAGAAAAATTAAACTAGGGAAGAAATTGAAAAATGTAGAGAGTTCAAATTTGAGGAAGAAGAGGATTAGGATTGTTAAGCCTTGTGACACTTTGCGTAGAACAATAGGGAAATCATTGCATGATGAATCTAAAATTATTTGGGTAAAGAAAGAGAATTTTAAATGCCTTGCTATGCACACAACACTTAGAGCACTTGGTCCATGCGGTTGTGTGATACCCCTCGGATCCGAGACACGGGTTGATCAGGCCCAGGCCCAAACCCGAGGGAATATCAAACAATTAAGTATTTTAAAACGAATACAGATGACAAAAAGAAACAATAAAGATAGAATAAAGTTGAAAGAAATAATAATAATAAAACCCTCCATGTAAAACTGAAAATTGAAAATCCAATCCTCCAAAACTTCAAGGTTACAACTTGGGAATCCACTGATGGACCCCTAACCAAAAGTTCAACTGAAACTGAAAACTGAAAATAGATAATGCTAGAAACATCGAGAGAAGTCCTACGTAAACAGATGAATGTGAGACTGTCCTCGACAAGCACGATCAAGCTCTAAGGCTGGAACCGTCCTGTACCTGAAAAGAATAATGAAGGAGTGGGTCAGACCCACGAGCAAGTTCTAATCTAACTGCAATCCATACAGTGACCCGATACGCAGATACACCGTAGACACCTCACAATATCTATCTAGTCCATACGTATAAATATATCTACACTAAGGGACATTCACTAGTCTATAATAGGGGTCTCAACCTGAATAGAAGGTAACATGCGAATACGCACCCAAAGGTGGGCATGAGTACCTAGACCTAATAGGGTACACCTCAACCTATTATAACCAGCTACGCATCCACTGCATATACGCACCCTAACCAACGAGTCTGAGACTTAAGCTTAACTCGTGGTACCATAAACATATATATAAAGTCCGTCCAAATCTAGGGTATGCAATTCAATTATTTATTAAACTGACATACAACAACCAACTAGTTAGTCACTCAACTTATTCAGTTGATATGACTTAACTACCATCCGTTAATCCAGGAAGTCATCCAACTTGGTTACAGCTGATCTGACTTAGTCACAATTAGGATTCGATATCTTTCAATCCATTCCATTAATCTATTAGGTTAGGTTTATGCATTTTGAGCTAAACCGTCCTTAGTATGTCACCGTCCCATACCGGTATATACAGTCATCCATATCCATGTAAATTACAACATATATAACAGTTCAATAATTTACAGACCCAAAAACCACCACCCAAATAATTGCAAAAAAAATATTTCAAGCTTCAGCAATTTAAATCGAAGCATTTAACCATATAGTTGCAGGAGACGATTTAATAAATCAACAACTAACATCCAGAGCATGCATAGACCAAATTTAATATGTTAGGGACTCCATCATGCATGTGAATAGGTTAAATAATCCTATTATTATCCAATAAATTGCTAAGACAATTTCAGAAGACTGTTTAATATTTCAGCAATTTAAATCCAAACATTAACCATATAGTTGTAGGAAACGATTTAATAATTCCGTAACTAGCCTCCTAAGCATGCATAGATCAAAATTAATAATTAAATGACCTTATCATGCACTTGAATGCATTCTAAAACAAGTTTTATAAACACATTATATTCCATCAAATTGCTGAAATTTAATTCAACAATTAATTTATCTTTCATTTGTTAACAACATAGGGAATGTCTTAATTTTTACCCTGTTTGTCCCGACAATTTAGAATTAAACCCTAATTAATTTAAAATCCTAATAACACCCAAATTCAGCCTTCTAAACTCTCTGTGGAACCCCAGACCCAACAGATTTAAAACCCATGCTCCAATAGTAAGCACAGTACGTAGAAAATTTTAAAAAAAATTAAAACAAATCATAAAATAAAAAGGGAGCCTGCTCCAAATTTTGGAGCAGGCTCTTTTCAGCCTAGAGCCGGCTCTAGGACTCCTTAGAGCCGGCTCTACTTGTTGTGGGAGCCGGCTCCCACTTCTATGGAGCCGGCTCTCACCTCCTTTGAGAGCCTTCAGTCCCCGGTGCTTCGTTTCAGCTTTTGTGCTTCGTCACTGGGTTACTCCTACCACTCTGTGGGTTTTTAGAACAAATCAAGAAGCCTTAATTAAGCCTAGAATCATCTCCGAGATTTGTTTACAATATTGGAAACTGTTACAGAGTTTAAACTAAACCATTGAACTAGCATGCTTGAAGAGCAGCACTGTAAGCAATTTGCAATATCAGTTATGATCCAACCCATCTGTTTCTCTTCACCCCTGCACCTAGGAGTCTCATATCATCCCAATAACATCTCCATGATCCGTTTACAGAAGATAAAAACAAGTATGATAATTAAAACTACAACAGAGTTTAACATGCTTTACTGAATAGAACTGAAACAAACACGCACAACCTGTAAACATATTTGATTTTCAAGCAACCAGATCATCAACAGAGCATATAGTAAACACGTAAGTTTCAATTATTAATTAGTTCATCCCTAGAGATAATCTAAGTGCACAGAACACGAGCCAAGGGAAGAAGGAAGATAAGAACTTGCCTTTGAGTTACAGACTTGAAGTTCTAAATTCCCAGTTTCTGTAGTCTTCCTTGAACTGCTCTGCCAATTCCCCAGTTTCACGCTCTGTTTCTTAGCAGCCCTTGGTGATACAGACGTAGCTTTATGTTTTCTAAAACCCTAAACCCCAGTATGTACATATATATATAGGCTTTAATTTACCAAACCCTATTCCAACTCTGACTATAAGTCGGCCAACGATAAATCCTAAAACCCTAAATTTAAATAAATAAAATAATTACACCGTGAAAAATTAAACATTTAAATTAAACCAAATAAGTTAAATAAATTAAATAAGTCAATTTAAAACAACCCATTAAAAAAATAAGAAACAAAATAAAATTCATAATTAAACAATTAAACACGTCAACAATAAATGCCTATTAAATACATGTCACATAGGTAAACAATTAAATAAAATAATTAGACCAAATAATCACGCAAAAATAC